CACTTGTAAACCGTATCTGGGTTATACTTTTCTTTGCCATTCCTATAACCCCACTGATAACTACCCCTGAACCTCCAAGAAACATCAGCATCAACACTTCTGAGGGTGTTTGCAGGTCTGAGAAGGCAGGGTGTTGCTTACCGTGCCGAAGTCTACTTAAAGGATCATGGGACCTAGTAACAGGGCTTCGTCCAAGGGATCCTTTGAAGGGTGTCTATATGGTTTATCATGAGGGTTCTATAAGGGTCTGGGGGTATTTAAAGGATCTTGGGACTTAGTAACTATGGCTATAGATACGGCAACTATGCAGGGACATATGACCTTACTTACCACGTCGCATGATCCTCCAGGTAGGTCTCAAGGTAGAACTTCCCCTTGAAGCCCCGAACTCACTGCCTAGAGGCTCATACCCTACTCCTTTTTTAGGATAAGTAGTTTTGTGATTAGGATCTCGTCTAGGTGGGGCTCCAAAAAAAGAAACTGTGCCTACGAGGGTGTCTCTGGAGCACGGTTCGGGCCGCAGGCCTTTAGGCCTGTAGAACCTGTATACCCAGACAGTCCATATACACCACCACTATGGAATTAGGTACCGAAAGACCAGCCCTACTATGGTGTCGAGGGACTCAATTCCATAGTGGTAGTGTGTATGGACCCTCTGAGATAAGGTTTAGGGTTTATGGGGGCTTATGGCTTCGAGTTTGGGGTGTAGGGGTGAAACACTAAACCCCTAAGACCCCTCATCCACAAGCCCTGAGCCGTAAACCCTGAACCACAGCTCCATCCATGCTCAGCCGAGGAACAAAGATCCGTCAGCTCACGGAAGCACAAACCGGAAAGCTCAGGATTTATAGCTCTACCTAGAGGTTCATACCCTAACCCCTTTTGTTGTACCTGGCTTTACGGTTATGGAGAAAAACCTAGGTTCCCTGAAGAAAAGGGGTAAGGTATTCCCTCCTAGGTCAGGCTCTAGGGACTGAAATTTTCAGATCGTTTGGCCCAATGACATGAACCCCAAAACCCTAAACCCTCAACCTTAAGCATTAAGCCCTGAACCCTCAACCTTAAACCCTAAACCCGCAACCTTAAACCCTATAAACCCTAAACCTTAAACCCTAAACCTTAACCCCTAAAACTCTGGGCCTTGCTATTGACCTTGAGGGCTCGAAACTTTCAGTGCCTCAGCCACTATCTGCAGCATCCTAAACCTTCAAAGGTCCACTGGTGGAAAAGCTTAGAGAGCAGGGCTGTGGATGGGGTTCGGCTGGGATCTCTTCACGCATGCCCTGGGTTATCCCGGACGCCGCCGCATGAATGCGGCCTCACCAACTGCACTAAACTCAACTGCTCTACCGATCACCTGGACAGTGGTAGCATCACTGCGCAAACCTAGGAGTACAAAGTCCAAGAGAACATCACTCGCCGGTGGGATTTGGACTCCAACTACGTATCTTCACTCACTTTTTTTCATTCGCGCATGGCTGGGATCTATGCCCAGTCTATGCCCGCAAGATTGGAAAGAGCCGGTCGTCGGTCGCAACGAAGACCTGCCACACCATTGCGAATTGTTGCGCACATCTGACAGTCTGACAGAGAATTGAGAATCACTCCAGTAATCTTCATGCTCGAGGTTATGTCGCTGTCCAATTTCAGTCTTTTTCCGCATCTGGCTAAGATTTCGCTTCGTTGCTTGGTCCGCCGGTTGGTGAACCAGTCTGGCTCCGTGGAACAGTGGAACCCTTCATTGAAGGGCTCTTTCCGACAACCAGCGAACGAAAAGGCTGCAAAAGGAGGCGCGAGTGCGACTTGAGCAACTTCGGTAAATCTCATTGAAGCTTTCATCCTTCATCCCAAACAGCAACGTTCAACAGAAAGCCAAAGACAAGCCTGCAAACCGGTTTGCTCTGGAAAACACTGCATCTGTGAGCACAAAATCACGGCTTTCACCGGCTCACTTCAGCAAATGGGCACAATGGCGTGGAGCATTGATGTCCATCAACAGCTTTTCATCAGCTGATGGCTCTGCTTTCATCGGCTCATCCGGAGAAGCCACCTTCTTCCACGGGGGGTTCGAGCCACCCCCGATTTTGTGCTTGGGATCCTTCTCATGAGCCATCCAGGCACGTGTGCAAAGAAGCGAGGTGTCTGGGTCCGTGCCCTTCTGCACTAGCGTCTCAATCGCCTGGCGGGACACGTCAGCACTGTCAGCCCTGTCAGCCCACCCCCACCACCGCAGATAAATGAATCACGACACTCACATGCGTGACCGTACCTGCCTGCGTGCGCAGCTCAATGTAATGATAGCGCATGTGAACCTGTTGGGTCCGTCCATGCCTTGATTGTCACTCGGCAACTTAGAACTCAAGCACGTAAAACCAGAGCTACGTGAGTAAGGTCTAAAGTCTGGGCTTCCGGCGAGTCCGGAAACTCGATGACATCTTCATCGTAGATGCAATCAAACATCGCTCGTTTCAAGTCGTAGCCCGGTTTGACAAGCCACACCGCGCACGGGCACAAAGATGTGGCTCGGTTATATCCGTCTCCGCTCATCCAAAAGTCGATGTCTAGCGTTCCGAAAGTCGCCGATGCGACCTTGGTTTGTGCGGCGGGGGACTGGACTCGCACAAGCATGACATTGAAACAAACTCCACTCGGTCCTCGATGCCTTCACGGACTTCACACTTCGCTCCGTGCTCACACGTCCGAAGGCGAAGATTTTCGCCCCACCCAGTGTGGGCTCCAGGTTCTGCATCTTGATCATGACGTTGCTCTTCTGATCCGCGACCATGATGCGCAGCAGCTCCGCAGAGGACTTCTGCCTCCGCCATCAAATATCACAGGTTCACTGCAACGACATGCAGTAACAACAGCTTGCGCACTTCTGCAAAACCCCATGTTTGAGCTGGGGCAGACACCCTGCCCAAAGCATCAGATGGGCTTCCACCTGCGATTGGATGGACATGATATCCAGGACGGTTGTCCCGCTGGACCCCACAGCATCGATGTCGTAGATGCTCTGCAAGCTGGGCGGTTGGTCGGTTGCGGTTGCACCACCAGTCGCGGGGTCAACGTTGCTAGAAGCCGCTTCCTGACCTTCTTTGCCGTCTGCTCCCCTATCAGGCAAGGGCACGGTGGCCTTGAGCACAGCTTTGATAGCAGGGAGCACCTTCATCATGGATTCAGCATCGTAGTCCGCGTCGGCCTTATTCTCACAGATGCCAAACCCCTCCCCCCATGAACCCCCCCCCCCAAAAAAGTAAACCCAATTAGTCCTTATTAGTTTCTATTTTTTGGATCATGCTTACTGCTCGATTGAGCTTGTTTCATGTTTATTTGGTTCTTATTTCCTTCTTATTTTGGTCTTATTTTCCAATCCGTGTGTTGACTCCAACAAGCCCAAACCCGCTTCACACTAGGACTTGTGACACAAAACCACACAGCTTGAGAACTGACCCAAACTCGCAAGCTGAAGAGTGTAACGAAACTGCCCCTCATGTGATTGGTTTGAGATCTGAAGAACGTGTTTCAAAGTGGGAGAATAAGCAAGGGACGCTGGTTCCTTAAGGAGTCCAGGAAGTAAGAATGTGTAAGAGTTTAGTAGCAGTAGAGGCAGCAGCAGGGGCAGCTGGCAGCAGCACCGCTAGTAGCAGCAGCAGCGAGCCTTAGTAACAACCTGGTTTACTAGTTTTAATTAGGACGGGTTTCTGTTCAACTGCCGAAGCAGGGTGCGAAAAGACATTGCGGGGTCTAGGGTTTCGTGGTTTGGATATGGGCTTTGCTTTGCATCGAACTGGAGCGACACTGAGAGAATGTTTTCCATCACGCGGACACATAGGATTCGGACAAAGTGGTCGAACGTCACGACCCTCAGAAGCCTGAGCCTAGACAGTACTTTTGTAAATATTTGTGTTGCAGGGGCGTAACGGAAGTGTGCTCAAGTTTCAGGCACAGGACTTATTCTTGGGCCGACGGAAATGCACTAGGTCACTAGGACTGAGCAGACCCAGTCAGAACGGGACGGCCATGGTCCCTCAAGCAGCGCTGTCAGCAGACATCAAGGCCACGAAGTCACGACATTCTTGCAAAGTAGGCCTGTGCAGAACTCTAAAACGGGAGACACAGATAGATACAACCCTAAACCCGAAACCACTAAACCCTCCAAACCCCTAAACTTTAAACCATCCTACGCCCTAAACTTTGCCCTAAACCCCCAAACCCTTAAACCCCGAAGTAAGCCCTAAATCCCCTCATACGACGACACCGATTGAACCCACAGAAACAGCCAAGCAGCCGTTCCAGGGGCTCGTCAGGGTACTTGCTATTGTGCCTCGTGTAGACGAACTCCAGCACGGTGTGAAGGGCGTCGGGCTCGTGGGGATTCCGGGGGGTGTTCCACTTTCTTTGGAAGGTTTGTTGCTCCAGGATGTCGTCGCCTGAATTTAGTTTAACTATGCAGCTATGAACTATGAACTTGCTTAGAGGGATTAAGGCGGGTCATTTAGTCAGTCAAGGTTTGGGCTGAGAGAACAGATTTGTCTGATAGGGGCAGCAATAAATTGTGGCTTTAATTTGGGGCTCAGCTGAGGAAAAGTTTGACGGGCAGTCAGACAGTCAGTGGTTTAGAGTATTGAAAGAAAATACAATTGAGTTCCAACAATCGCTCAGTGTCTGGGGTAGTTCGCCTTGTAGCCATACGAACCAGGCAAGCGCAGAAGCGTACATTCCGCTTTGAGCTTGTCCGAGCGCAACATCTGCATTAGGGAAGCCGGTGTTTGTGGCTCCGCACGTGCTGCCCCTGAGCGCTGCCGTGAAGCTGCAGGTTCTGCTGCCGCAGCTCCTGCTGCTGGCGCCGCCCCATCACGACGACCCACGGCAGCTGCCGCTGCCGCATCTGCTTCAGCTGCCTGTGTCGCTGCATCTGCGGGTCCACGTAGCTGCTCCTGCTCCTCGGTCGCCAGAACTCACCAAACTTTACTTCATGATCGGGTCTACTATATTTGGAATTAATCAAATCGGAAAACTTGCACGCTACGAACAAACCTGGATTCCTTCGACTCTTTGACAGCACGTTTGCGAATCCGCTCATGCAGCGTATTCTTTGCCAGATGCGCAAGCTTCTTGAACTCGGGGCATTCACGGTCCTCCTCTGCAAGCTGTGCCACGCAGTCCAGCACGGACTGCTCATCCTCAGTCAAATGTTTTCCAGACCTGAAGCAAATGGCACCGACCATCTTGTTCCGAGTCTCTGCGTCGTCGTCCGGGAACAATTCTGAACACATTTTGTGAGCAATGTCAGCCTTGAGGACTCTACCCTTTTTGCCGCTGCCTTTCGTTGGCATGTCAATGCCAAGTGCAGCACACAGCTGCTTGAGGTCCGGGACTGTCAAAAACACACCCGCTCGCAGACCACCTTCCAGCAGCGGCATGCCCTCCTCATCGACAATCCTCCATGCTGAGCAGAGTCCTTTGCTCAGCAGCTCCGGCGGCGCGAATGCACGTAGTGCAAGCTCTGTTGGAATCAATTTCCAGGGACCGTCTCGCAACTGAAAGCAGGTCATCCACACGATGGCCTGCGAAGATCCGCGAGGGGGTCGAAGCACAAGGAAGCCCTGCAAGAACACTGAGTTTCGATGGTTTCGGGGCTCCAGCTTCCGTATTTAGAGTATCATTGCTTAAGGCTTTCGGGTCAGGGGCTTAAGGTTTATACGTGTAGGGCAGAGCGCTCAGAACTTAGACCCGCAGCCCGAGTTCGGATGCAACCCCGTAAGCTTTAGTCTTAGTCTTGCGCCCTTACCTGGCCTAAGTTGGTACACGAACCCTCGCCCCAAACGCAAGCAAAAGCACTATCAACTTTCTAGTCACCTAGCCTGATTCTGGATCGTGACACGCTCCAGCGGAAATCCCGCAGCAGCCCACTTGCGAAACCCCATGCTGAGGACATACTCTTCGTTGCCACCGTCACTGCGCTTGAAGACAGCTCCCTGCTTGAAGAACGCGCCTGAGTTGCAGAGGGCTCAGACACTCACAATGCACGAGGGGGATCTATCTGGTGCCCGTACGATTAGAGTGTCCAGAGCGATCGGGTTTTTGTCACAGTAGTAGTGAAGGTCAGAACGACCTAGGTCGTCCTGTTGCGCTAGGCTGCTAGGATTGTAAAACATTGCAGCAGTAGCGATGTTACAGCATAACAGCAAAGTCGCCCACCCAACAAAGATCTATGTGGGACCACCGGCTTTCACGATCACGCATGAGGTATGCGGCCGCTGCGGAAGACCTCTGTTGCGCGAGCGGTCCGCTGTTCTTCCACTTGCTTTCTTTCATCTGCTTCGGGCGATGCATGGTTTCGGGGTTCGGCAGCTCGGTCTTCTTGATGGAGAACATATTCTGGTTCGCGTACTCCCGGTCACACTGGCCAGTGGGCCCCAGAACGGTATCGAAGTCGCTCTTCTCGGGGAGAACCTGGGGGCAGCCGCCGGCTTCGGCATATGGCGAAACGATCGCGTAAAGCCATTTGCAGGAGTCGCTCATTTTGAAGTTTGTCGAGTGCGTGGCGGCTTTGCGATGCAGAAACGCAAAACAGCTTTCTAGCAAGTCTTTTGTAGTGAAAGACCCGAGGTAAAGGCGTTTGGCGAGTTTCCGAAGGGAGGTGTCTCTGCAGTTGAAACCAGATTGCAGGAAAAGGGCCATTGTCTCTCGCGCAAACTGTTGTCTGTGCCAGCCCAGGTCAGCGAGCATGGCCGACCAGGCAACATCGCTGCAGTCATGCCGCTCCGCCTCCACGACGGCAGTCACCAGGAGCTTTGCATGATGCATTGCCTCTGCCCGCCTTGCACTGTCTTTGCTGAGCACTGTTGATAAGAGCGCGGGCATCGACATCCAGAAGTGAGCGTTGGACCAGAAAACGTTGCTTGCCAGAGAGGAAGCGAAGCTGCTGCACGTCGACAACAGCTCCAGCTCCTTCAGTGCCCATGCTGGCATCTCCTCAGGCCGAGGTCGCCGGGAGGGCTTCGTCACCTGCAGTGCATCATGCAGTTTCTGCCCACCCAGCGTGGCAAGAATGTCATGGACAGTGTCAACATACTGCCCCAGTGAGCGTGATGCTGCAAAGGACGCCTGAGCGTGCCACCCCTCGGCAGCTGCTTCCAAGGCTTTGTAGTAGGCATTCTCTAGCGGAGAGGAGATCACAACAATCAGGCGGGCCACCTGCTGTAGGTAGGCATCTGACATGAAGCCCGCGATCATGCTGGTTGGCCCATCTTTGTTAAAGATCTGGTACAGCTCCGTCTTGTTCTTTGGTTCTGGCTGGGGTTCCTTGTCTCCTTCCTCAGCCTCGTCCTCCGTCTCCTCTACCTGCTCCCGCTGCTCTGCTGGATCCCCCTTGTTCTCCTGATTGTCTGACAAAGCAAACAAGCAACAAGCTGCAGCCCCGAACCCTCTTTTGATTGCGTGATGTCTTTCTTTGCAAATTGTAGGAAATAAACCTTGATTCAAACACCTTCGGACCCGAAACTCTAAACCAGACCGGCGTCTAAACAATGCGTTCTGCTTCGAAGTCTTCGTCTTCATGATATTGAGCCTATTGTAAAACCCGACATGTCCTGGTGAAGGCGTTGCCCTCCTCTTCTTCTGCAGCCCACCCCTTTCTGGTTGCTGTGCTAACAACCCTAAAATTTAAAAACCCTTGAATTCGGGACCCTATACTTGGAGGGTCGGGGGACTGAGCAAGTAGTTATTTTATAAAGTTGTAAGTATCACAACCCCAATTAAAATCCCTGTCAGGGTACTTGTAAGTCTACTTCTTACCTACTTACTAAGTCCCCCGACCCTCCAAGTAAGCCCAGAGCGCGGCCAGGTTGCCAGATGGCGACGCAGCGCGTGAATTGCCTCCTCCTGGATGGACCAGTCGTAAAGCAGGTCCCTCAATGCCGCATGTAGTCCGAACCAAGCTTTCTGTTTCACCTGGGCCGCAGCAGACTCAGGGTTTACCTTTGCAAAGTTTCAGGTCGGGGGGATGATGGTTTCGGGTTCTTTGAAACTTTCGGGTTCTGGGTTCGCGGCTTCGGAGATGTAAGCTGCATCTAAGGGTTCAACAGTCAAGGTTCCTCGAGTGATCTCTGACTGAAGGTCACACCTACGTCATGTCATGTCCTGGAACTTGACCCTGAATCGGACCCTCTAATTAAAGCCCCATAACCTACACTCTGAGTCAACGTGGGACTGGCCCCAACCAACGAATGAATTGATCGCAGCAGGACACGTAGAGCCCGCGATTCCGCAGGGCGCGAGTGCTCAGCCACTCAGCCATGCACTCGGCAGCGTCTAGCTGCTCGTCGAAAGCTTCACCCCGATCAGCGGCAACCCTTTCCGCAAAAGCTTCGTAATAGTCTTCACATTGATCCTCCAGAATTCCAGGGAATCACAGAGGGTTTAAAAGCATACTCTCAGGGTTACGGGGTTTGATCTGGTCCGTGGGAGATGGCACAGACACACAGGGCTTCTAAGTGCTAAATTATTGCGCGCTGTCGTCTTGTCAATCTTAAAGCCGCGCTGATGAGCAACTGGTCCTCCAAGTATGCCTGAAAAGCATCCTTTTTTGCCTCTAGCTTGTCTCCGCTTTTCCAGGCTCCGTGATCGAAGTTACCTGTCTGGATCTGGAAGGCAAGGCTGGGTGCGGCTAAGGCTAGGTAATTAGTTTTAGTCCGTCCTTGTACAAGCACGATAACCCCAAAATCACGCCCCGAGAGTGTTTCACAAGTCGAAACCAAAGGTCAAATCAACGAAAGCTTCATGATCGGCATGGTGAGGTTGCTGGCCGTCATCGCCTTCTTAAAGGCGTTCCAAGCAGGATGCGATGCCTCGGACTCTGAAAATCCTCTCAGGTGCAGCCGCTCCCAAGCGTAGTTGAAAGCCTTGTGCTGTACCCCTTCATCATCACCCACGAGTTTCAGAATTCGCATCTCCTGCAGTCTCACAAGATCATAAGTCTTTGTGACACATGTTACAACAAGAACGATTATTTGCTGCAATCAATCAACAGCTCCTCGACTGGCTTGACGCAGGCCGTCGAGAGGTCTTGCTTTCCCGGCACCAAGAGCTCCCGTTTCGGGACCGCGAAGCTGGCCAAGTCTTTCCCAGTCATCATCAGCAGTATGTGGTTCACCACCTTGAGGATCACCTGGGAGGTTTCATTTTGGAGGCTTCCGAGACTTGTGGAGGACGTGCCACCGTGCCACTCTCTGCCGCGCTCTCTCACTCTTTCTCTCCCTCTCCCTCTCCCTCTCTCCCTCTCTCTCTCTGACTGACTCTCTCTCTCTCTCTCTCTCTCTCTCTGTCGCTGTCTCTCTTTGCTCTCCCTCGCTCCCTTCCTGTGTCTCGCTCTATCTCTCTACCTCTCTCTCTCTCTCTCTCTCTCTCTCCCTCCGTTGTTCTGCTTCTTCTTGTGCTGTACCATTAAAATCAAGCGGTTCACGGCACAAGAATCTAAGAAAGTTTGGATGATACTGGTCACCGGTTACCTGGTTGAAGCAGATCAAGGTTGTGTCTTTGCTGGCACACTGTTCTGATGTCATGAGGGCCCGGCGAAGAAGAGGTTGCACTCCTTTGAAGTCAGGAGCGGCCTGTGCCGCGCAATGTAAGGCACACCGCCATCCCTAGAAACCGATGATTCAAGGATGCCCTTAACCCCTTGCCTCCAAGGGCTGGAGCCGTTGAGCTCTTCCGCAAACACTTTTTTGATCACCTCGGAGACACAGTCAGTCTTTGAATCACTTTAATTTAAAGCTGAAAGCACTGGCACAGGACAACTGCTCATTTCTCCATCTCCGCTGCGACGCAACGGGAGACTCGGTGCTGCTTGCAGTGGTCAGAGGCGGGCTGTGGCACTCGTTGGTTCTAGGTTGCTTCACAGCTCAGGAGCAATGGGAAACCCTGAAAACTTTTCGTAACGTGAGCACACACACACACACACAATAGGGTCTGTGCCTCGCGCCAGCCCTTGCCACTGCTTCAGTTGCGATCTGAAAGCACAAGTGCCGCAGAAAGAGGGCAGCCGATTCTCTGCGTTGAAGCATTCTCTCGCTTAGCTTTAACATCTCACAGCAAAACCAACACCTAACCCAGAGCGACTACAGCTAGTCCCAGGCTGCACTTCGGCGGCAACACATGTGCCAGAACTTACAAAAGACTCCGGCTGAGCACCAACGCAGCTTTGTCTCTACGCTAAGTCTACCTCAGACGTAGGAAACATGTCGAAAAGATACACAAGAAACTTTTCTGAGTCTTTCTGACTGAGGAGGATAACGGACAAGGAGGGGCGGAGGTGAGAGGAGGAGCTGAAACAGACAAGGACGGGCCAGGAAAGTTTATGTGCACGCACGTGGTCAAGGGCACAATGAGTTGTTACAAGGTAAGACACGCTCATCCTTTAAAACCATAAATGCCCCAAGAACAAGAAATCCAACCCCCCCACAAGAGCTTCTAAGGGGGGGTTGGGTGGGAGGGTTTTGCCTGTTGGCAACTGATGCTCCATGCTCGCTTCTTTGAATTCGCAGCTGACGCTCATGATGAAACAGCAGGGCACTCATCAAGTGGTCGTGGTGGTGGGGTTGAGAAGGGGAGGGGAGGGGAGGGGAGGGGAGGGAGGGGAGGGGAGGGAGGGGGGGGAGGGGGGAGGGGAGGGGAGGGGGGGAGGGGGAGGGGAGGGGAGGGGAGGGGAGGGGAGGGGAGGAGGGGAGGAGAGGGGAGAGGGGCGGGGAGAGAGGCGGGGAGGGAGAGGAGGGGAGGGAGGGAGGGGAGGGGATAAGGAAATAAGGGGGAAATAAGGAGGAAATAAGGAGGAAATAAGGAGGAAATAAGGAGGAAATAAGGAGGAAATAAGGAGGAAATAAGGAGGAAATAAGGAGGAAATAAGGAGGAAATGAGGAAAATAAGGAGGAAATAAGGAGGAAATAAGGAGGAAATAAGGAGGAATAAGGAGGAATAAGGAGGAAATAAGGGAAATAAGGAGGAAATAAGGAGGAATAAGGAGGAAATAAGCAACAAATAAGGGGAATAAGGAGGAAATAAGGGAAAGGATAAGGAGGAATAAAGGTGAAGCAAGGAGGAAATAAAGGGGAAATAAGGATGAAGTATTAAGGAAATAAAAAAGGAGGAAGGGTGGTGAAATAAGCATAAGAAATAAGGAAATAGAACACGAAGGAAGCAAACAGGAACTAAAGAAAAGAAAGAGTACGACATTCAGCTTGCTCCGCGACTCCTTTACAGTAACACAAACCACGAAACGTAGCTGGAGGTGTCATGCCATGGAGACCCAGCCAAATCAGCTTTGCTTGACATGGCTCTCGTCATCACTGGTGAGATCACACGCATCCCGCGCCAATTCTGGAGACAACGCCGTCTTCTTCCCGCGCTTGTCGCTAGCACTCCCTGCACCGGTGTTCTCTGCTCCGCGCTTGCCCTCGTTGACCTTGCCATCTTCGTCCTCCTTGCGCTTGGGCTTGCCATCGCCCACGGTCTTCTTGGTATCGGCGATTTCCGCCGCGGCTCGCTTGGCTGCCTCCTCCTTCTCCTTGGCTTGCTTCTCGGCTTCCGCCGCGGCTCGCTTGCTTGCCTCCTCAGCCTCCTCCTTCTCCTTGGCTTGCTCCTCGGCTTCAGGCGCGGCTAGCTTGCTTGCCTCCTCCTTCTCCTTGGCTTGCTCCTCGGCTTCCGCACGCTTGCGTGCCGCTGCCTCCGCTTCTCTCTTCTTGGCCTCACGTAGCGCACGCGCCTCGTCGGCTTGCTTGACTGATTCTGCTTCCTCCTGCATCTTCTTTTGGATCATCTCCTGCAACATGGACTCTGCCACAGCACGAGCTGCTGCCATAGCCGCTGGGTTTTGCCTGATGCGCTCCTCCTCCTCTCGCTCTTGGGCCAGACGTGCTTCTGCTTCCTTGGCTGCCCTCTTCTGCTGAATCTTCTGCTCCAGCTCGGCTCGTCGCTTCAGCTCCGCCTCATATTCTGCCTTTGCCACTTGACACGCCTCCTTCCGGTCCTTGTCGACGATGGGCTTGCTTTTGCGGCTTGCCAGCAGGACATCGCAGCTTCGCATCTTCAAATGAGGCTCCGCGGCCTGGAGCATATAGAGAACAGCACCCGTCTCGGCGTCGATGTCCTCAAAGATGCTCCAGTGAGCAGAGCCTTCTGGCGGCTTGTCCGGGCCAGGCAAAGCCAGCTCACGGAGCTCGCTGGGATGCAACAACCACTGCTTTCCAATTCCACCATGAGGGGTCCAAACCAGGGGTGCCAAGGGCTTCATCGGCGGCACGCTCGTCTCATCATCGTCCTGCCCAATCAAAGTTAGCAGCGAGCGGACTACATGAGGCTTCAATGCTTCGCACAGGCCTCAGGCCCGCTGTCAGACCCCCCAAACTCGTCGTCGGCCACAGTGGACTGTGGCCCCTTGGGCGTTTTGGGCTTGGACTTTGCACCGGGCGCTGCAGAGCCTCCTGTGGACACCATGTTTGATACCATGCGGCTGACAAGCTAAGCAGCTAGGCTCTACATGCTTCATTCTACGGCGCTGATAGAAACACAGCACCCAAACTCCTGGATTCTGATCGCCGGCGAGTGTGGGCTTCACGGCCCTCGCGGGGAGCGACTGGCCAATCTTGGCCGACGCCTCGGCATCCTCTATCTCGTTGAAGATGTTCACGCACAACTCGGGCTCATGCACGTCTTTCAGAGCCTCGCCTTGCCAGAGGTAGTCCATGCCGGAGCCATCGGAATAGATCTCCCACTGGCCACCCTTGTCTGGAGGACCCAAAAACACCTGTCTGCCGAGTTCCTCGTGCACCAACATGTGCTGGACGCCCTTGCCTTTCATCCTCCTTGTCTCGATGCTGTAGCCGTCGTCCGGCAGCTCCTCCTCGTCCTCCACATGCTCATGAGTCCCAGTGCCATCGTCGTCGCTCTCCCCAGACTCAGCCTGCAATCATTGGACATTAGATGAAACGAAATCCTCTCTGCACTGTCATCATCTGCAAGCTTTGTTACGGGGGGGGTTAGCGTCTGTGATCAAAAAAATCAGGCCTCGGCTTCCTGGCTGTGGAAGTCCAGCACGAACTTTGGAAGCTTTGCCGGCGCTCCAACGGCAGAGCACCGAGGCAGCTCGTGAGCGAATGGGCCCGGATCCGCGTTGTCATCCAGCGTCGCAAATCGTGCCGCCATGTATTTGCAGATTTCAGCCGGGCGCCTTAGTCTGAGTGACGCGACAGCTGAATAACGGGTACCACAGCAAACTAACGTCCAGGAGATGTTCTGAAAACACATCCTGCATTATTGGCAGCCCAGTCTCCAGCCCGTGTGTGCCAACGGTGAGCCCCGGCGTTTGTACTCGTTGGAACAGGCACGCAGCATCTCAGATTTGACCCTCCTTAGCAGCAGCTTGCTGGAATCCCATGCCCCCAACCTCTTTTCCGGACTGGACAGGAATCAAGCCCAGCGACTCGCAAGGCTCATCTCTGGGCTGAAACCCAAAACCTGAATTGCTCAAGCTCCGCGTGTTCATGATGATTCAATGACGCAACACAACCACCAAGTCAATATAGTTAACAGGGATGAGGCACAAAACGCTAACAGCAGGAAGTGGGAGTCCCGGTCCAATTTCTTGCAGACGCTTTTGTTCAACATGATGGGCTCAACGTGAGCCAGCCAGTCAGCAAAGTGACAGTTCTTAGTGCGCGAGTGCAGCAAGATTGAGATCAAGCCACGGGTTGCAGCAACAATCTCTGAGCCCAGCAAGTCACTGAGGTCGGGGCTGGCATCTTGCTGAGCGTGGGGTGCTTGTAATGATCAGTGACAATGTTGCGACCCTGGCTGCTAACTGGGCCTTTGCCAGACGGGGTTGCCTTGGCCTTTTTGGCTGGTGCCTTCTTGGGCTTTCTGGACTTGCCAGCGTCCTCGTCGTCACTCTCATCCTCATCCTCATCCTCCTTGGGGCGCTTGGCTCCTGCCAATGACAGTCATGGCTATGGATGGCTACGGGTTTATGAATCTGGGGGTCGAAATGAACGGAATGATTGTGCGTGTGAAACACGTTAAGGCTGTTCCAGTCCTTTCTTTCCAGAAGAAGAAGCTTTTGGCTTCCTCTTGGGTTCGGCCTTGAACTGGTCGTCCTCGTCTTCTGGTTCCAAATCGGGCTCTGCGCCGCCGGGCCACTTGATGCCTGCCCTGAGCTGCACACAACTGGTCAAAAAACAGCAGGTGCGCGCGCGCGCGCGCGCGCGCGCCCCCCCCCCCCGCTCTTCCCCTCCGCGCATCATGTTTGTTTTGTGTTTTCAAAGTACTTGTCAATTGCGACAGACTAGATCAGAAGAGTCACGTGGAAGAGCTCTTGGCACGCATGCGTGAGGAAGGAGCAACAGACTCGGCTGGCTCCGGCACCGCCGCACGTTTTGGCCCACGCACCGACATCATTGATGGTGCACGGGGTACGTGCTTGCTACCGCTGGGCGCCATGAGCTCCCCTGGTGGAGGGACGCCTGCACTTATAAGCTTCGCCTGCGTGAATCGAAAGGGCTGCAGCACCGCAGGAACAATAATATGATAAGGTGCTCCACATTCGGAAGGGCACAGCAAGCACCAAAGCAACAACTGATTCTTTTGACCATCCTGGGTTCAAGTGCGACTTGCAATCAGGGTCCAAGGTTTTGAGATGAAGGAAAGATCGAGCGGAACCCTCAATCCAGACATCTGCTGTCGTCTGTACTGTCACTGTCTCTTCGGAGCAAAACAGCAGAGAGCTACTAACTGAGCGACGCCTACGGCAGTCCAATGCATGCAATTCCCGACCACTTGCGAGGCACGGGCTACATCCAAGACCGGGATTTCCGGAACCTGCATGGCGGCTGCTGTTTCTGGCGTCACGGGGAAGCCCAGGGAGGCCAGCTTTTCACGACTTGTCATAGCTCTCCCCAAACACGGGGACCACATGATGCCCGAAGATTTTCGGAGGGTGGGCAAGCGTCCCGAGCATCCGCTCCAGTTACAGTACCTAGCGCTGTCTCCCAGATGATAGATCAGATTCGGGTCCTTGGCAGGTTCCCGGCCATAGCGCTTACGATACTTCTTATCCAGGGCAGCAGCCACTTCTGCCTCCCTTGCCGTCAGGGCCCAGGACACCTCCGTCGCTTTTGAAGCCTTGGTATCGAAAGTTCGCACCCCGCTTAAGGCTGAAATTTATTTACGACTAGACAAGCAAGAAGAGCAAGCTCAACAATTCAATACACCAGGTGGCCTCGCACGGCGATCGCTTGCGCTTCCGAGAAAGCATGTTTGCTTCCAGGCAGACATCGAGTGGGCTGGCTATGAAGTAGTCTTTTGGACGTGTAGAAACATGTTGCGAGATCACAGCTGCTATGTTTGCGTACAGGGTTTTCGGACAAGTCAGCATGACGGTGCGCCTTTTGTGTGCCAATATGACATACATCCTGTCACGAGTGGTTCCGGAGTGACCCACATGGTCTGCTTTGCAGTGCAGGATGTGCAGGTTGTAGTGTTCCCCGTACATGGCCCGCAACATCTGCACGCGGAGGTACTGCCAGGGAAAGTGCGCCGCAGCAGGTGGTTTTCAGCAGTTACTCAGTTGGTTTGTTTGCAGCAAGAGCCCTAAGACAAGACAGACGTGGGATCCGTCCCGCCTTTGTGTTCTCTATCAGAATCAACGGCGTCTGCTGCTCCACTTGCCGCTTCGCGTGGCAGAGAAACACTCCTGCGGTCCTTCCGTTCTCCTGCAGTCTCTTGCCTGACACACTCATGTCCCAGCACGGCAGGCCAGCTACCTCGAGATCTGCCTGGGCAGAGGGCCCGAGCAGGTCGCAGAAGGCATTGTGCGTGTAGCAGTACTGCTTCTTGAAAAATCTGGCTGCGTCAACCTTTCTCAGTTTCTCGAGAAATGAGTCATCGGCACTGTACGTGTCCCTGGCAACACAGTCTTCCAAGTCACCAAATATGCAGGGGCTTCGGCAGGCGGCACCAGTTGCCCTGCGCACCCATGCGAAGTGGTCAACGATCAGCTGTCGACAGCTGTCATCAGTCTCCTCAGGCCCGAAGCACAGCAAGGTTATGTACGGGATGCAGGTTAAGGACGCAGATGGGTGTCAAAGAAGCTTCCCCTCCCTCTCTCCCTCCCATAGTTATGTTGCCCAGCTTCGTGGCAGGACACTGGCCGAAAGTGGACAGGCAGCGTGAGTGCATAGGAACTGTTGATAATATTGGACAGCGCTGCCAAAGATAGCTCAGCCGTGAAAGCGCCTGTGCAGCTGGACGAGCTTCTGTGGCCTTTGACCAAAAAGGACTCCTGCTTCAGGCTTGCATCTCAGATCTACGGTCAGCACTAGCTAGAACAGGACTGTAAACCATAAATTATGTAATTAAACAAAAACCTGGAACTGATGCCACAAAAACACGACCCTAAAATTTGAAATCTGCTGTCCTGTATTCTCGCAGCTGAAACTTCTTCGAGGGCTACAGACCATGCAATCGAAAGTCCTCTCGCTGCTCTGGCAAGCATCGAGGTATCTCTGGGCAGGTCCTTGAACCGGATTGATGTTTGGGGGATGCACCGCTCTCGGGAATGGTTCTAAGATGATGAAGCAATAGACATGGGGATGGCAGGTCAAGATCGCTTGCCTAGGTGCTAGATGCGATATAGAACTTGCAGAACTGTTCTGCGTCCACGGAAGCCCCTCTTCCGTCTCAGCCTCCGCACACGTCAGCTTCTCCACGTCGGGGACGACCGGCATGGCTGATCACTCTGAGTGCCAGCAGGCCGATAGTTCTCACTAATGTGCATAAGCACTCCGCACGCCATCTCATGACAGATGCCACGCCGGGTAGTTGCATTTTGACATGAATGAGTCTTGTCATCTAAACTCCATGCTTCCCAGCTCATTGAGAACGGCAGGCTCACACGAACATGAACTGCAATCAGGCACAGCCATCCAACAGCAGCACAAACCGTCTAACCTTTGCTGCCTCAGGGCACGGCAATGGGAGGCGCGTAACACCCACGTTTGATTTCTGGACACCAGACCTGAGAGAGCAGGCGGGCCATTCGATGTGTAGTCCGTATCATCCACAGCAAAATTCGGGCACCTGACGTAAGCCAGTTCTGTCGGCTTCTTAGCCACGCTGCTGCCGTCCATGTACATCTTGGCAGCACATGCAACGCAACACACATACACACACGCACACGCGTCCCACTGACTACACCTCGAGTCGGACGCTGGGCACCCTGCGTGAAACACTTTGAGGTCCTGTAGTTCGGCCCGACATCTGGACCAGTAGGTCACCTTCATTTCATGCCGAAACAGAATCTTTCCATTAACTTGCTTGAACATCTTGAACTGAGCCAGGTACGCAAAGCTTCCAAGCAAACGAAGATGGCGTCACATGCGACAGCTGGTGCTTGTCCAGAATAGACCGAATTGTGCTGCCGTGGTCTTCCTGAGACGTGCGGCGAGCAACACTCTCAAGCCAAGGGACAGTTTTTCTGCGTTGTTTCAATGATGCCTCGGCTACAGCAACAACATCTAGGATGGGAGCGCTACCAAGGCTCATTCTCCTGCAGGTAGTGCATGGCAGCAACGGTGACTGCCGCCCTCAGTGCCACCTGCTGCCTAGCTTGGTTCTTCTCCATGCCCAAGTGGTAGCTGAGCTGCTCAAGAGATAGCTCTGACATCTTGCCGTCTACCCAAGTTGCCAGCTGGCGCAGCAGGCTCAGCGACAAAGGCCGCACTAGCGCAAGCTCACCAGCATGCGCTTCATGCGCCCCGCTCGGCGAGCATAGTCCAAAAAACACAACATCAGCCAGCGTAGGCCTCTGAAGGTCCGAAAAGACGATCCCTTCACGTCGCAGCATCTGCCACGCCGGCCTAAGCCTCGACTGGAAAATTCTTCGCCAGAGAATGTCGGGCGGAAAGTGGCCGCCGGGGTGTCGCGCTTCGACCTCAACCAAAAATGCGGCGCCCAATGCCTGAACGCGCATGGGTACTGCACCAGAGTGTTCAAGAATGTGACCGATCAGTTGCCTGCAAAAGTTGCGCGCACGTTCGACTTCTGGACCTTGCCGTTTGTAGTGCGAGATCGCCCAGCCCATCCAAGAAACAGCCAGGCTCGTTGGCACCGTGCGTCCCTTGAGGTAGAACGGCTGTTTTTTTGCACCCGAAGCTTCAGCCTCATGCTTGGTCTTGAGCAATGTGGGCACTGGTTGCCCTGGATAAATCTCTCGATGCATGTCAGAAACCTGCGCAACCTTTTCGACCTCCCGGAAACGTGACATCGCTGTCGTGACTTTTTGGGTGGTAAAAAGGTTCAGCATGAGGTCCGGCACAGACCACTGTGATTGCAAATCTGCATGGCCCTCCGCCACCACGACCGGGACCGCAGGCGTGCCCGGAAGAAGTATACTTGTCAGTTGTACTCCAGCCATGGCCCACAATGGCCCGAGAAACATTCGATCAACGTCTACGTCTACGTAAGCACGGTTCACTTTTACGCTCTCACACTCGAACTCCGCCAGGCGAGGGTTAACTTTTAGGGCGCAAGGATATCCCCATATGAACACAGATATGACTGACATTCGGCAAACCATCCAAGGCTTGAGGTATGAATCGCTGGATCCTGGGCCTCAATAAATCACAGCTGCCGGCATGGAAACTTCTGAACATCTCCTTCGGAATTCCATCATGATTTGATGCTTATTCCCTCATTATTTCGCGACTATTCTCTTCTTATTTCCGGGCGAAAGCTGTGTAAAAATAACTACTAATAAGCATTGTTTCCTTCTAATTTTCGTCCGGTGGTCCTTTCTCGCAACCCTTCCAAAATAATCACTAATAAGGACTAATAGCCGCTATCAGTCCCTATTAGCCACTATCAGGGATTAGTTATGTTATGCACCCATCCCAGCCACTTTTATTTAATGGGGGGGGGGGGTTCAGGGGAGGGGGGCAAAGCTTCTTGTGATATTCTGCAAGCGGGACACCGTTACGGACAACACTTTGGCCCATGATGTTGACCAGCAATGCGTCGCCTGCTCAAAGTCATGGAGGCATTCTGTCACACGGCGGTTCAAGCAGGACTCGAGCTCCAGGATGTAGTCATCCGAAGCCTCGTCGCAGAGGAAGTCGAGCACGCGGAGCAATGATTGCGCGCATTTCATTGAGAGGTCGTCCATCTTCGCAAATTTTCTCACAGCAGCCTCTTTATGCGACGCCGGCATCTGGATCAGCATGTGGATGCACTTGAACAAATATCTGGGTCGACTGAGGATGCACATCTGCACGGCCTTCTCATTGAGACACATCTCGGGCTTCTTCGCAGTCTTCGGCTTCTTCGCTTCCGCGGAATCGGCAGGCTCCTGGGGGTGCTTCGCCTCCGCGACCTCATCGGACTGGACGGTCTTCGCTTCCTTCACCGCAGCCACGGCCTCCTCGGACTGGACAATCTTCGCTTCCTCCACCGCAGTCTCTGGAGTGGAAGAGGCAGCGGCAACATTCGTGCGAGGAGCATCCGAAGCCTCCGCAACCTTCTGCATCTCAACAGCCTCAGGCTCCTTCTCAGCCACAACCGCCATGGCGGCTGGCTTCGTCGAGCCTGACGCTATTGTCTGCTTGTCCGTAGAACTCTGCAACAAGGGTTGATCGCTTTCGTCGCTGGTGGCGGCTTCAGTGGCTTCCATCGATACCAACAGAAATTTGGCGTCCTTTCCCAGCATGTCATACAGGGCGGGTGCCTCGTCCTCATGTCAGTCTACTCTACTGCGATCAGGATTTAGGGCGGTAAAGCATGGAAAACACGCAGTGTCCAAAATGTGGCCCTTCATGCCACCTCCTTCCCCTCCCCTGCCCCGATTCTAAGCAAACAGCCCCCAGCACAAGCGAGCATCATGAGCATATGTTGCCGTTGCACACACAAATTGTTAAGGTGTCCGAGGGCGGACACCTTAAGTCTGATGCATTGTACATGGATACCAGGAACATTGCCGTTGTTTTAACCCGCCCCTTCCCCTCGTTTACCCACTATACCCCGTCACTACCCCCCCCCCCCGTCCCCCTACTCCTAAACCCCGCCACTGCAAGCGCCACGGGGTCGTATCCAACCAGAACTCTGGCAACAAAAGACTCTGCTCTACGGACTCTCAGTCCTGGTTGGTGGCCTTTCTCTGCGCGTCATCCACAAAGACGGTCAGGGCGAGTGCCGCATTGCCCACATCGGACACTGCCGCCGGGATCAAGTCTTCGCTCTCCAGCGTCTTTGCCACGCTCCAAACCAAGTTGCTCAAGGTGTTGTGCATCTTGCGATCGTGCAAATCACAAAAGCCATCTGCTGGGGCATCCCACTGGCCCGGTTGTGGGCATTGGCAGTGAACCTCGCGAACATGCTTCATAGTCGAGACGAGGGCTGGATGCTTCAAGAAATTCTTGTCGTTGTTCTGCGTAAGGAACTTCTTGCACGCTGCCGTCTTCTGCTTGTCTGCGATGATGGTCTTATTCCTTGCGAGTGGTGTTTCGGTTGTTGCAGCTTCCGCCGTCGGAGGCGCTTTGCCACTGCGAGCCAGCTCGTCCACCAGCTTGGCCAGCACTTCTTCCATGGAGTCACCTGCAGGTAGCTCAGCATTGGCTTTCCGCAAGGCCGCATGCAGGATGTCTTGCAATGCTGGTCGGAGCGAGCTCCAATCCTTCATGCATTTCTTTCCAACGACGACTTTCCCTACAAAGCAAAACTCCAGGGCATAGGAGATCAGGTTGCCCATGAGGTGGCTGGAGCCAGGGGTCTGCATCAACTTCTGGTATGCAGCCTGGAAGGGAGCGCCGCTGCAGCGGTTCAAAGCAGCGATGAGGTCGTCCAGCCAAAGCCGCTGGCGATGGCCCGGTGCCTCTGCTTCACTCGCGTTGGCCAGCGGCGCGAACTCCACGTCGGCCTCCAAAGTTTGCGCTGACTCCCCGGGCGCCAAAACTTGCTTGGCAGCCTTGCCCTTCGACTTCGGTTGGCCTTTGGCTTTGGCCTTTGCACGCTTCTGCACTGCAGGGGAAAGGTCTGGCACCAACGCTCTTTTCCGATTACCAGCCGCTTGAGCAGCGGCACCGGCTGTGCTCAATTTCCGAATGAACAATGCACCAGCCACCGGACAGCAAAGTCTCTCCTGGCACTCTTGGAACATCTGGGACTCGGCGCCCTTCACGAAGATGAACGGTGGGTGACGACGGCTTTTGCCACCGAGCTGGACTTGCATCAATGGAACCTGCGTCACCCCAATCGCCCTTCTGTAGACTTACAGCTGAACCCTTCCAAAATCATTGCACATATGCTTGTTGCAACATGCTGGGAACCCCGACGCAAAACTTACAGGCTTCCAGCAACACGGGTCCCAAGTCAGAATTGCTCTGACCGCTGAATCGTGAATCCAGTAGTGTGGCAAAACTGTTCATGTTGCTCATCACATGTTCGTGCTTGGTTAGGTTCTCATTCAGAAAGTCCGTCTCCGAGCCGAAGAATTCGTCCCAGTCTTTCAAGATGCCAAACGACTTGAGCTTGTTGCGGAGAGCCCGCGCTGTCTTGAAGCTCTGGGCAGAGTACTTTTCCTGCGGCAGTGTCTGTCCAAATTATGTGCGAAACATCATGTGTAACTGTTGTAACTACACGGGACGATCAGGGCCAGCGCAAGCGAAACTTAAGCGAGCTTGACGCAGACCGTTCTAATCTCCAATGCCACAGTGTCCTTAAACTCGCTGGACGCGAGCCAGGACATCATCTCCTCGTGATAGTTGGAATTCCTGCTGGTTATGGACGCCCTGTCCGCATAGCTTCTCCAAGCCTGCCAGCATGTCATTGCCAATATGGCGTGCATCAATATGTATGAAATGGCTGACTAGGAAGTATAACTATATAGTCCCGCGGAAGGGTGCTTCCTCGGCCCGAGGAAGCACCCTTTTGAAAACAGCGTCCTCATGTCAGTCTACTCTACTGCGATCAAGATTCAGGGCGGTAAAGCATGGAAAACACGCCGTGTCCAAAATGTGGCCCTTCCTGCCACCTCCTTCCCCTCCCCTGCCCCGATTCTAAGCAAACAGCCCCCAGCACAAGCGAGCATCATGAGAATATGTTGCCGTTGCACACACAAATTGTTAAGGTGTCCGAGGGCGGACACCTTAAGTCTGATGCATTGTACATGGATACCAGGAACATTGCCGTTGTTTTAACCCGCCCCTTCCCCTCGTTTACCCACTATACCCCGTCACTACCCCCCCCCCACCGTCCCCCCACTCCTAGCCTGGTCTACGTCATCGGCTCCCATGACAAGCTCGTGGAAGGAGATGTTGGCACCGCCATGCCAACGATTGTTGACATCCCGCAAATACCTTGATCAGCTCTGTCTGCACACACGTACATACACACTCGACAATTGTCTGTCTACGCATGACGCATGACGCAGCACGCGGACACTCAGTATCATGCGTGAGCACGTCTGCCGGCGTGTCTGCGTACAGCACGCGGGCTTGCAGCCCGAATTTCAGGGTGGCGAGCACCTGTGCATTGTTTGGAGCTTGGTCGACGGCGTCGTAGAAGGCTTCACTCCTCGTCACAAGGACAACGTATCTCATGCAACCCACACATGGCGGCAGGGTGCGCGCAACACAGCTGAGGGCCCGCGGGCAAACTGAGGGCTTAGCAGCGTACCAAAAGTGATGGCTTGGTAGGGCTGCGAGACATTGCTTGGCCTTAGAATGATTCCCAGCTTTCAAAGTCGTCCTCCATCCACTGCCAAACGCAAGGCCTCATATCTAAAGCAAGGCTCGCCACGAGCCACGCCTCCCCTCTGCAGCCCGTCATGATTCCGTGGGTCAGAATGCCCTTCATGTACAAGGCCTTGACGGACGCCTGTTTACGGCTGTTGATGCTGTGCCGGACGATGTTGCGGCTGCCATTCTTGAACCACGGAACGGACACCAGCCCCTCGTTGCATTCTGGAACCTGAAGCCCAAT